TTAGTTGCAGGTATTTGAAAGCGCAAGACTTAAGTTGCTTGAGACCTATTTTTTCATGGATCTAATTAACTTTGATTCCTTAGTCACAAATAACAGTTTAATAAACAAAGATTTATTTAAAAAAAGTCTGTTTGTTTTTCTGTTATTGATTTCAAGTAAAATTCTAAATATGGCACAATTACAACAAATGAAAATATGTGTTGTTATTCTCTATTGTTTATGACATTCGACATGTAAGTTAACAATGATTTTTGAAGAAATAAACGTAGCCAGTCTTAGTTGGAGGTGGTCACGAAAGACGTTTATTAAAATATCTATTCATTGAACAGCAACATAACAAAACTTGAACAACTCGCTGAAAGTGCTATAGATCCTGTGTCTGTCGGTATAAGATTTACTCTGATCCAAATCATGGACTTTGTAAGTAATATTCAAATTCAACTTTGCCTTATTCTTGCGTTTTTGTTCAATATGAATAGGATCCAAAGAAGCAAGTCCTTGTAACCAACGCTTCGATAACTCACGTACGTATACTCACTGAGAAAATTGATATTTTTTCACATATCTATGCAGATGTGGCAAGACTATAGTATGACCTGGGACCCAGAAAATTTCGTTGGCATTACAACGATACGGATACCAAGTACAACAATTTGGATTCCAGATATTGTTCTATACAACAGGTAGAGATCACAAATTATCTATTGTAAATCGAAACTTCTGTTTGCTAAGTGTCGATGAGAAATTCGACAGTCCTACAGAAACGAATGTAGTTATAAAACATACTGGAGATATTCTGTATGTTTCACGAAAAATCTTCGAGTCAAGTTGGTAGTTCAGTATTGGATTGATCCGGTTGGTAAGTGTTGCTAACTCTTAAAAAAATCTTTGATTTATATCTCATTTTATTGTGAATATTTTTAAATATTATTGAATATACATGTCTGTAATTTGAAATTCGGATCTTGGACATTTGATAGTGCTGGTAGGTGTTTGAACATGTTTAATTTTGTTTTGTACAGAACAAAAAAAACTGCAAGAAGGACAATTAAAAGAATTTGAATCATCTAAAATGTCCTGTGATTTTTATGAAAAGTATACGATAACATTGTGATTTCGATTGTTTTTCTCACAAATTTTCCGCATATTCTATGCTATTGCCATTTAGGAATCAATCTGACCTTAACAAGCAATATGTTGACCTAAGTTCATATATCAAAAATACAGAATAGGATCTGAAAGGTAAATCTGTAAGCCTCTTGTTTGGAGAATGTATAATAATAGTGCGAATTATTTAGTCTGCTCATGAATTAGAGAGCTTACATGGATTGACTACTTTAATTCGTCGCTGTACCATATGCATCAATTGAATATAACATTGTGTTTAATGAGTTTTATTTTGAGATGAATACAACAACACAATAATCAAACCAATAATATAATAAGAAAGATGAAGATAATAATGAGAAGAAAGATGTGAAGTTCACGAAGAAAAACAAACAACTAAATATAACTAACGAGAAAGAGAAAAAACAAGATCATATATAGATCATGAGAAAGGAAAATCAAAAAACGCAATAGAAAAAGATGATCATAATGTCCTTATGATAATCAAGAGGACAATATATATTGAACAGCAAAAGAAAAAAAAGTCAAATAGAATAGAAATAAGTTAGCGTCATAGAGTAACATCCGCTGACGCTAACAAAATCATGTGAGCTTCGAATAGTTAATTGGGTTCTTCTATGTTAGGTACCTCTACAGTACTCAATAAAGAGGCCTACGACTGCTGTCCAGAAATATATCAAGACGTTGTGTTTACAATTCGAATTGGTCGGCATTCCTATTGATTATTTCACAAATATGACTGGTACTAAAATCATAACTATGAAACATGTTTCTTATCTAGATGAATTCATCAGAAACATATCGCAATATACAAAAGCTTTAGCAATAGTAATGAGACTCTTCAAGGATTGATCAGGACTTTGTGAGAGTACACATAAGGAAAATTTTATCTGTCTAACTATAGCTAAATCTAAGATATGCATTATTTACTGAAACATTGTTCGCGACAGTTATATAAGAATCTACGCACGGTCGATATCTTGTAAATCATATGAAATCGTTTTTTTTCCTACTTTTCTTCTTTTAGTGTTTCACTTTGTTCATAACGCATGGCATTACAAACAAGATCACACTGTTCAGTTTAACAGTTCTAGAAAACGATAATATATCTCTTTCAAATAGAAGAACTTGTCAAATTATTTGAAATCTCTTTGTTGAATGTTTAAACTGTTCGATTTTTCTTTTTCTTATAGACACGCCAGAGACACAACGACATGAAAGCAAGAAGAACAAATCGAAGACCATGAACAAGAGCGAAGAAGAGTTCGCTAATATGGTTAAGAAGCTAATCTAACCGTTAGACAACAACTCATTCAGACATAGATCTAGTGTGAATGAACGTATGTTCCGTTTTATTTATTTATTTTTCTTAATCTTCACTACTCTTCCCATAGCTGATCATGGGTCAGACGACACCCCTTTATAGCAAAAGATTTTTTTGCATACACCTCAAAGAAGATCCGATGATTAGCTCAGAATAAATAGCTGTTTTTCTTTCTACAGAGTGTGTGCAACGAGGAACCACATCCATTCTATCCACACCCATAGCACTGCATTAACGAATTGATCAAAATAAAGAAAGCAAATATTTTTTATACATTGACAAGAATCTTAGTTGAAAATAAAGACTGCTGAGTACAGTGAACATATCAAATTCTATGATGACAGAAAACATGTTCAAGTTTGTTCAAAGACCTACAGTCAATCCGTCCCATATAAAAAATAACTGAGGCGCGTCAGATTCTAATCAATTTAAATAAGACAGTTTTTATTTTAGTATGAAACGCTTATTTCGTCTATACGTAATTATATTTGCCGAGTTAGTGGAAAAGATTTCATACATTTATTGATTGAAATTCATGAAAAATCAAATAAAATCTATAAATCTGGTTATTACTACTGATGTACAGTTAATAAGAGATACTATCATACAGATTTAGTTTCAGACTCTATCGTTCTTAGAACATTTTTTCTGAAAATGAAATCATATTATAATGTAGCGTCTCTTGACAGGTTTACCGAAATTCTTCATGACAAAACCATCGGGGCTCTCTTGAGAAGTCTCATTTGAATGAAATCAACAGAACATCACATGTTAATATTAATATATCGGTAACTTCAATTTAATTCTCTCATAGTGGTATCAGTTATCTGAGTATAGAAAAAAAACATCGATTTGCATTGAATTCAGTCAATATATCATCTATTTAATCAAATTGTTATAATTACACATTTTTCTTTTTTCTCATTGTTTTATTTTTCAAGCTTTTATGATTTCCTAGTTGTGGTTTTTAAAATACAGATCAATTCATTTTATCTTCCTGATAGAAAACTATTGTGGTTCAAAACACAAAAAAAAGCCATTAGTCTGTGTGACATCGATATAATATACTCTATATAAGCAGATCATTGGAACAACACTTAAAGCATTTGAAAGAGAAGTAACTGAGAGAATGAAGAAATTTTTATGTTTACAAGTTTTTTTTTTACTGATTTGTCTGATAAATGATAAGACTTAACTGATATGTGAAACAGACTGCATTATCAATGCCATGTATTTGTGGCAAGTGCATTCAAAATCTAGTTAAGGTTAGAATAATATATCACAAACTCTAGTTGAAAAGAAAAAACTAGACTTCAACTATTTAAGAATATTGCGGTAGTTTCTCTGAATTTAGATTAAAATAAAAACACATGAAAACCTGATTTAACACATGGTTTTTTCTATTGAATAGTGAGGACATTGGTGATTAGCTAGAACAAAGCAGTGAGTGGGAAACTATCTATTGATTATGTAAATGAATCAAATTGTATTTATATTTTAGATAATAAGTAAATGAAGTAGTATAAACATATTCTAGAGCTAAAATAGACGTGATTGTTCGTTCATGATATGATATTTGCCGTCGTCTATATTTATTTATAATTGACGAGGTATAACGAATAATCATAGAATTCCATTTGTGATGAGTCATCAATGTCCTCATGTGCCCATGATGGAGTTATTCAGATTCTAACATTTATTAATTTTAAATTTCACTTTAACCAATTGACAATATTCCTATGTCTCTATCGCGATGAAAAAAAGCAAAAACAAATGACATATTCACATTCTCATTATAAAAATCACTCTAGTGCATATTCACGTTCAAAATTCAACTGAATTCCTGTGTCAGTTATAACATATTTTTGCTTTCAATGACATTTGTCGTGAAATACAAATAGTATTCGTTGAGTATCTAGAACTTTTTTTCTACGTGTTTTATCACTTTTGTTAAAGAGCCAAGGTGCTGAAATATTTTTATTATGAAAGAAATTTGCTTGAGAGAATTTTTTTTTTGTTGACATGACAAATATTAACAAAAACATAAATATAAATAGTTCATGAACATGAACGCCAATTGTGGACGAAGAAAATAAAGCAACATAGTGTTCTAAAACATAAAAACATATAATTCGTGAATAGAAATACAATAGATAATGCACATTTTTATTAAAGACGATTGAAAATGACTGTTGAAGTTTAGAAGAGCAAAAAAAGTAGATTAGATTTACGACCTATAGTTTTATGGTTTTTTTAAACCATGGAACACTGAATTTTTGAAATTTCAAACTGCTTTACTTTGGAAGTGTTTTGGTTTGTTGTTTATTGATTTGGACATTCAAATCGAAAAACCTATTTATCTCTTGCATGATGCAGTAACATGCACCTCGACTACAAATGCCACAGGCACTTAGACATAATGTTTCCTGAACTGTCTAGAGGATTGCAATAAAAATAAAAAGTATCTTAATATCGATGTGAAACGATTTCATCATGTTTCACATTTTTAAGCAAAATCTGAAATACAAATAAAAGAAGATCACATACACTATATATCAGATACTACATGATATCGTTTAGGCATTTCAATATCATCGCCACCAATCTTTTTTATTCCATTCATTAAAAATTCCAGATATTCGAACATATTCACTTGCTAGAAAAGAAATTTGCCAACATAGAATATAATCATCAAAAAAACAAACAAACATTACTTGATTTTGTATTAGTTGTACTTGATTTTCTAGTTTTTTGATTTTGTTTAACATGATCTCTTGTGGTGAATGTCTAATTAAAAATTAAAATATGATTGAAAATACATCTCAATATATAATACTTACACTCGATCTTCATCAAAATCAATTTGACAATCGACTATTTTTCGATCAGTTTTCAAAAAAAAATAATAAACTTCATTACCAAGTGCATCTTCAATTGATTCAATTTTTCTTGTTAATTCGTAATCAGCAAAAATTTCTGTAAAATAAGAGAAATGAATTTCATTCTATAGATTCGTCAATAACTTACTAAATTTCGATCGATTTTTATGTTCACGATGTTTCTTACGAAACCACGGTAATTTAGTACAAGTCGAGAAGAAATAAAGTATTAACCGCCAAAGATGTGTTATAATAACAATTGGTGGTGGCAAAGCTGGTCTTGATAAATAATAAGATACTAATGAATAATGTTGAAATTTCCAAATATAATCAGCATCCATATGTAAACGATCAAATGTGTTGCTTTAAAGAAAATGCAATTGAAATATAACTTATCAAGCAAAAAACGAGATTTGTACAGATATTGATTTTTTTCTAGAGTAGCTCAGTGAAAAAAAAAATTTTGAATAAATTATCTATGGCAGCTGAATAGATTAATTTAGGTTTATTCTAAACATTTTGAAACAGTTCAGAGAATTATACCTGAACATTGCTATAAGAAGATTGATAAGAAGAACACTTGCAACAGTCATATAAGCAATGAGTAAAATAAACACAACATAACCACTAATTTCATAATTTTCTTCAAAAAAAAAAAAAACAAACAGAGCAAAAAAGATAATATATGAATATGTTTTTTAACTAATACTCACTCTCAATTTCATCAAGTGCTTCTAATTCACCAAATATTTGCCAGTAAGCAAGATTTATAATAGTACGTGGTAGATGCCAAGTAAATTTTTGAACACCATATATAAGACTATAGGTAGGTACACCATATGCCAAAATAAAAACAGTTAGCATTAGCATGAAAAATTTGAGGTCATGTATCTTAATTGAAAACAAGAGAATATTCCAGAGATTCGGAATAGGCTGTAACAATAAAAAAACTTTTCGAGCTCGCAAATTGAGAAATTTCTCTTTATTCGAGCATCATTATTTGTAGCAAAAAGAGCTACTTCACACACAGATAACCTGATATTTAAAATGCAGATTTTATTGATCATCAATGGATTTCGAAAATCTTGGAACTGATGTTTTTTTTTTCAAACTGTTTAATACAATTGAATCTATCACTCTTAATGAATAGCTAAACGAAGAAAATAAGCAAACTAGAGATGTTACTTAGTAATTTTTCTTTGGAGGAGAAACCGTTTTTCGAAAAGTTTTAACACATTACCATTTCACCAATCATAACTAGCTTGGGACCGAGACGTTTAACAGCTGCAAACATATCAAGTGTACGTATATACCAAAGCGATAAATCAACTGCAAGAATAATACGTGCAGCACAAAAACATTGCTTTGTTGGCCAAATTCGAAGAGTGAATCCAAGAAAAAAGAGAAATAGTGCCAAGAGATCTAATTTATTCCAGAACACTGAAAAATATGCTGTAATTTTACCATAAATTGATTTTAATTCAATTTCAAAAACCTTAAAATAGATAAGGCATTTATTCTTGAAATGAATATTGATTATTCATAATTTTTATTACTTGTCGTATTTCATCACAGAACAAAGCGACAAGCCATACAACAAGAATAATTTCAGTTGTTGCTAATTGGTGATGACGATGAAGACCATTGTGAAATGTTTGATTATTATTCGTCATTGTTAAAGATTTTTTACTAATATTATGATTAGAAATATCAATAACGGTATTGATTTCACCATTTTCAAAGCATTTATCCGATTGAAATTCGTAGAGAGGAAAAAAATCGCATAAAATTACATAAGAAAAGAGCATAAGAAAAATGATATGAGAGTACTAAAATAAGAAAATAAAGCAATATAAAGAATTTATTTTCATGTAGTGGTGATTTGCGCCTTGAGATGTCTTACCAAGTTGTAAAGATATTTAACATATGGAGCATGTAGAAACATTAAAACGTTCTTCAAATATTGATTCACACTAGTTTTTGTTCTAAAGACGAAGATGTGTCATTCTTTCTATGAAAAATCATTTCACAAAATACTTTTTCCAACGACCAGTATGAACAACACGAACAGTTCCTTCTTCTTCGTCTTGCACATCTTGTATTAGACTCAAGCGTGCTCTGTCTGCTGTTCTAAAATAAGAGTTACATATAAAAGATGAAATATTGAAATAAAATTGTCTACTTATTCATTCGATGCTTTAATCGGGATGTATCATGATGAATAAAACTTGATTTGAGACTAGTATTCTACGAAAACAAAGAGATTCTAAATTAAATTCTTCTTCAACATACAAAACTTTTCAAAGGAAATTGTTCAGTTCTTTCAACCATTTCTTGATGATAATGAAGAAATCCACTGTACCAAAGCATAATAGTGGAAAAAATAATAAGTCGATTGTCTTCTGTATGATCAATGTAGCCATACCTATTCAAAAAAAAAATAAAATTTCATGTCAATTTATTTTAGATGGTTATACCAAATATCACTAAGTACACGTTGTACAGCTCTTTGTGCAATAAATTGTTTAGCTTCAACCATAACAGCTAAGTGTAACCAAGTCGCATTTCCAAATTCTGGTATTTGTCGAATTATTGCTTTGGTACATGCAGACGGATCTGTTCGATAGAATTTTTCAAGTATTTGTACAGCTAAATTTTGAAATTCATCCGCCAAAGCATTATAACTTGGATCTTTATCTTTACGTGCTTTGATCTTATAGAGTAATGTTGCTATAAGAGCAGCACCTGATATTATTGAGAAAAAGAAAACAAACAATAATGATGAGATTTTCGAATCAAATTTTTACTCACAAATCTTGTTCTTTCCACGTGCCCAGAATAGTAAAGCAAGATCTTGTTTACCAGTTATTATCGACCAGAGAAAAAGTTCTTTATCAACATCCATATAAGTCATAATTGATCTTTTCGAACCTACAGAAATGATCGTATATGCAGATTCAATCGAAAAAAAAATGTAATCAATAAAGTGATTTTACTAGATCTCTGATTTTTCTTTCATATTTCTAGTTCTTTTCTCAATAAACTCACCAATCGATTGCATACTACCGTTGATATGTTGAATAGATGAATTCTTATGATAAGTTATTGTACAACATGAACATATTTCATCATCCAATTCAGTATCATGTGAAACCTCATCTGGATTCAATACAGCATTGACTTCAAAAAAATCGCCCGTAAGCGGTTGAATAATTTGCTTATAAATTGATCGTAAAGGATTGTTCAAGTCCTGTGTTAAATTAAAATTCTACAAAAGCAAATTTACTTGTATAGACATTAGGAATAGAAAGAGAGCATACTTCATTTTTATAGAGCGTTACAAGTTTATCATGATTTTCAAAGAAATCAACTAATGAAAAATCATGATCAAGGAAAAGTTGAACAAAACTTATTTGATTTCGAACAAGTGCCATTTCGAATAGATCGTTTAAATCGACTAACTACAGACCGAAAAAAAAGTCCATGAATTAGAAAAAAAAAAACATTTGCATTCATGATTTTACTAACCTTCCAATCTCGATCATCTTTCATAATAAAATTTTTAACAATATCAATTCGATTCCATTCAAGTGCTAAATAGAGTTGTTCACGTTTTTGTTCAATGGTAGTTTTCGAAGAATCATTGCCAGAAGTGGCTGTAAAATATTTTATACACTTAGACACAAACAAAAAAAATCACAACAATTCTTTGCTTTTACCGTTAAGCAACGCTTGCAAAATAGCCAAATCCATATCTAGTTCAACTAGACTATGAGCATTAAAATTGATAATATTTAACAATATTTTTCGTGTTTCAATACATTCATAGATCAATTCAAAGTAATTTATTTCAACATTTTCATTCGATATTGTTTGATTCATTTCATTGTTACATATTTTAAGCTTTTCACGAAGTTTATTTTTGATTTGGTCCTTTTGTTCTGATGAAAAATCTGATTCAGCACTAGAAGACAAGAAATAATACCAAATAGAACGGATGAAAACTATTCTGAAGGCCTAGTCTGAAAAGTGTGAGAGTAAGCGAGGAGAAGATAGCAGAGAACACAAGACAATGCTATCTAGTTTGATGTAACATACATTGTTCGATCAGATATGCTCGTTTTGTTATAATATTCGTTGTATAAATGATAAGCTTTGGAAAACAAATCACAACATCCACCTGTACCTTCAAGCAATACAACGGGAATGTTATTTTGAATGATAGTTTCATGAACTAGAATATTAAAAAGAACTAGAGAATTACAATGAGTGAGAACGTTTTGATTGAACCTGTTTTAATTGTTTCTAGATAACCTTCAATAACAAGAAGAACAGCAGGTACAGAATCTGAATAGAAATAAAAACATGATTTGTTTTTGTATTATTTTAAATAGTTTTATTTTTACCATTTGCACTCCAATCCTGTGAACTATGTCGACGATGAATCGTAGTATTTTCTGAGGAAAATGATTCACCTGCGATGGCTTTTTCGAATCGAGTACGAAATTCAATCTCACCACCATATTTACTTCGTGTTCCATCGTCAATAAAAATAAATTCTGTATGATTTGGTTCCAAAGATGCTTCATCTTTTTGAACATTTCTCGGCTTAGCATAATGCACATTAGTACCATGAACATCAAGTTGATCAACACCAGATATATAACCCCAAGTGGCAATACCCTTTTCCATGTCAACATTCAATAGAGATCAAATACTTTTTTCTTGTGTACTTACAATTAAATGAATTGGTCGAGATGAATCAGGATTTGTACGAATAATCTCGCCGATCAGTTTCGTAATACTCGTATTGATACCATCAGTAATAATCCAAACATCTTAAAAAGAGAAAAATAAATGAATTATTTCAAATAATGAATCAATGTTAAATACCAGTAGTTTGGACTACTTTAAGAAGACCTTTTCGAAAGATTCGAAATAATTTCGATTTCATATTATATTCTTTGGTACTACCCGTCATCGAAATAACCAATGATGGACGCTAAGTTCAGATAAATCGAATGATTATTAGAGAAAAAATAATCATATAAATTTACTTTATTACAACATCGCTGAATGAGATAGTCTTTCACATCAATTGCAGAGGTATCGGGTGGTATACGAATATAGTTCGCTTTATTCGATTGAGTATAATTAACTGTAAAAGAACAAACATTAGATCGATGATTTTTTCGTTTCATGACATGGATACTTACAAGTAATTGTTCCATGTGATTTAACACCAAGTGTGTTGAATAACTATACAATCATATGAGACGTCAACACGTGTAAAAGCAACAAAAAGAAATAATTATCTTCTTACATGATTGCTTTCAGATTGGGATGAAATGTTGACGAAATAATCAACAATTGAGGTTAAACCAGGTACGTTTTCTATCATGATCAATCGATGGAGTTACTTGTGGATTTTTAGGCAATGATTTAAAACATTAATCCAACAAATTACAATTACATGTTTAACCTGAGCGATAAAAAAAGAAGCGACTATAAATATAAACGAATGCGTCAGTATACATGGTTAATACTCAACTACCTTTGATGTTAATACCATGTGACACTCATCCTTTTGCTTGCTGTATGTATATTTACTTCTGTCACTACATAATCGACTATCGTTATATGACTTGAGTAAAAAAGTATATTAAATGAAGTGGAACGTGTAGAGAAATTCTTTTATGTGAGTCCAGTGTAGAACATTAACTCACAGATAGAATTCAACTCAAAAGCTCATAAAGATTGCGTTTATTTCGAATCGATTTCGAATCCCGAATATCGAAACTTATTAGTCAGTTTTACTCTAGGAAAGTATGTTTTCATTTGTGTAATAGATGTATTAATTAGTGACGCTAATGGAGATATGTCAACTATATATTGATTATTGTGTATTATTTTCATATTCTCATCTACAGTTCACGTAGACTTCATATAAATATATCAATATTTATTGCTAAATGTATGATTATTTAAACTCAACGAAAATGTTTTATTTCTTTTAAATGAATTGAACAGACTTATTGAAAAGATCACATATTTTGGAAAGAATATTTCCTCTCGTTGTAACTGTTGCAGTTGTCCGAATGAGTCTTCTACAAAATAGAATTCTAAATTACTTTATTTCAGTTACTTGAATAAAGAGTAAATAAAATGTGTCATTGATAGCATAAAGATGGTGGATATGGCCCGTGTAAAAAAAAAACAGCTTAAAAATCTGATCTAAATCGATTTTTCGGAGAATAATCGGTAAAAATTGATTAAAAGCAGCAATTTCGATAAAATATGTCTAAAAAATCGATTATAATCGATTGAACATAGCTAAAAATCGATTAAATCGATTTTTGTTAAAAATTCCAAAATAATCGATTAAAAGTCTAATCGATTTTAATCGGCCATAAGTAAGAGTCGATTAAAATCAGTTATTTTTATAAGATCTGAGATAATCGATTAAAAATCGAGCCGATTTTAATCAACTAATGATAGTAATCGATTAAAATCGATTATTTTTAAAAACATCAGAATAATCGAGATTTTTTTTCGAAAATCCGGAATAATCGTTTACTGTGAAACAGAACAAGTAACGTTCATCGTCAAGCGATTCACTTAGCCCTAGACTGATACAATACATGTACGGATGTAATAGCATAAAAGCTACATTAAAAAAGTAATACGCAAAATTGATAATATAACCAGTATATCTTAGCCGAGCAGAAAACTTAATTCGGAGAATTCTCACTCCAAGTAAAGATAATGCATTTTACAAATTTAATTTTTTTTGTCGTTTTTGTTTTATTTTTTTTTGCTTTTATAAATATAAATAGCGCTCAATAAGATTAGACAAGAATACGATTTTTTTTGTAATTATATTGGCGCTATTTGTACGTACAAAAATATGAATTATATTATTCATAAAATTTGAGTTTTATTAATCAATATTTTATGCTTCAATTCGCGCATTAATTCTAAACTATTAATAAATTAGATACTCATTGATACAACATTGCACAATCAATCCTACAATAATGAATAATTTAAACGATTTCTTTAAATCCATACTGCTCATTTGGTCTCACTCTCCCTAATTAAATGCTTTTGTAAGCCGTTTTACACCACTACCCGAATTATAGTTATTTCATTGACTTTTTACCGATGATTATTATGGGTTCATTTACATCAGTCTTTAGATGGTCATTTGTGCCATAGTTACCGGAATAGTTGTTTGTACCATGGTTGCTATATGGTCATCTGTGCCATAGTTACCGGAATAGTTG